CGTTCTCGGCCTTTTACAACATTTCGCTCGCGGTCCTCGCCCTCGGTGTCATGCCCGTCGCCGAGTTGCAGGCCAACGCCAACACGGTGCTCGCCAACTTGGCCGAGATCACGGCTGGCAACTGGCTGGTCTGGATCGTCTGCATCGATGCGTTTGTCGTCTTGTCTGGTGCCGTCTTGACGTCGTACGTTGGCATCACGGGTCTCCACCGCCGTCTTGCGTCCGACCGCGTCATGCCGGCGTTCTTTGCGGCCGAGAACAAGTGGCGCGGCACCAACCACTGGATCATTCTCGCCTTCTTCCTCCTCACGTCGTCGCTCGTCTTGCTTTTGAACGGCGACAATGTCATCCTCGGCGGTGTCTACACGTACTCGTTCCTCTCGCTCATGTTTCTCTTTGCGATGGGCTGCATGATGCTCAAGATCAAGCGCCAAGACATTCCGCGCGACGTCCACGCGCCGTGGTGGGCGTGCATCTCGGGCGCGACGCTGATTGCGGTCGGGTACTTTGGCATCCTCCTCGGCGACCCGTCCGTGATTGCCTACTTCTTCTACTACGCACTCGGCGTCGCGGTCGTCGTCTTTGGCATGCTCTGGCGCGTCACGATCTTGCGCTGCCTCATCTTTGTTCTCAACTTCTGTGGCGTTCCCAACACGGACAAGGATGACGAATCACCCGAGTCGACGCAAATAGCCATGCTCACAGACGACGTCGAGCTGCGGTCACCTCCGTTGCTTTCGACGGATGAGCCGTACGAGGCGGTTGTCGTCGCGCACGATCCTCGCTTCTTTGAACGCGAGCACAAGCGCGTCTCGCTTCTCGTGCGAACGCTCAAGGCCATCAAGGAGCAGCCATTTGTCTTTTTTATCAAGTCGCCCAACCTTACATTGGTCAACAAGGTTATTCTGTATGTCCGTGCCAACGAAATGACCGAGACGCTGCGATTCGTGCACGTCTACCCCGAAGTCACGATGGCATCAGCCGACACGATTCAAGCGCTTGCTGACGTCGTGGCTCTCTTTGACAGGATCTACCCCAAGCTGCGGTTCGTCCTACTCTATTCTTTACTTGTGCTCAGCCTGTCGTAGAACGGACTTTGTCTCGGTCAAAGGGCCTTTTGAGCCGGCAACGATCGAGTGGCTCAGTACATACTGGCACATGCCCACCAACATGATGTTCATCAAGCAGCCGACCAATACGACAGTGCACAGAGTGTCGTGTTGCGGTGTCCGCGTCATTACGGGCTAGGCTTCGTCGGCTTTGAAAACAACTCGTCAATCTAGAAGTGTAGTATTGTATACGAGGCGCGGCCTTCGCGACACCACTTTCTCGTCGCGGCATCGATTTGCGCTTCTAAAGCTGCATCAAAGGGCAGTTCAAAGAGTATGCCCCGAGAATTCTATTTTACCCTAGCCCTACCCTAGCCCTATCAAGCCCAAGACAAACAGCTCCCTTTTCTCACGCCATCGCTTCTCGTGGCTTTATCCAAGGCTCCTATCTATGGACCTTTGCGGTGTCCTACCATACGCACAAGGAGTACTAGTTGTCGGATGGCCGAGGGGTGCGCTTTAGTGACGACTCGATGCATGTCCTACTATACGTACTTTATCTACAGCACGGGGTCTATTTACGCGGATCCCCGACAAACTCGATAGCTTGGGTCGACCCGTGCCGGCCCGTTGCGCGGTGCACCGTGAGGAAGAGCGCGAGCACTGCCATCGTGAGCATCAGCAGTGCTACGTGCCACCCGATCGGGAGCCCGACTTCGACTTGGCGCGAGAGGTAGCTCACAAGCGCCTCGGCGTAGGCCGTCGAGGCCAGCGCGTGGTCCATCAAGTACGCCCCCGTGCCCACACCACAGGCGAGCCTAGTCCAGTTAAGTCACGGCAATAGTTAGTCACCTATTGCCGTAACGATGTCTACCTCGTATGCGGTCGACAAAGACGACCCGGCGCTCCGAGAGACCAAAGCCGTATGCACGCAAAAGCGTCGTGACGTAGCAAAGGTCGAGACAGCGCCGATGTAGCATCTCCTTGGGGGTATGCTCGAGCTCGAAAGTGGCAAGCTCGTCAAAGCGCGTGCTGCACACTAAATGGGTCGCCTACATCCATGTGCTGCATTCTGCTGATGGAATACAATTGAAAGGCTCGTACCGCTTCGATCTCTTCGAGGGACGGCGCCGGCCAGCCGTAGCTTAGTGTCGGTGCGATGCGACTCACAACGTCGCGCGCAAAGACGGTCGCGAGGTAGTAGACGCTCACGCCGTAAAACGCACCCGTCACGGGCGGCTGCGGCTACATTCAGGCTTCCACAGGCACCATCCCAAGGGTCAAGACACAGTACCACCGACTGGAGTGCGCAAAATGACCCGCTAGGACAGTTGGCGTTCTCTTGTGCCACGAGCGATTGCAGGAGATCGAGGCACTCGGCGGCGTGGCCCGTGCCCGTCTGGTTGCCGCTGGTGTACCCTGTAAAGTAGCACGGGTTGGCGAGCATCTCGACCGACGTGGTCGCGTTGGTGGCGCTGTGATTCGTCGAGGCATTGGCTGCGATCGACTGCAGCACCTACAGCAAGCATGCGACGCGAGAACAGCGAATTCAAGGTGCGTACTTGATCGTGCATGTGTCTCGTGCCGTAGTTGGCAAACGAATGCAAGAAAACTCGCTGGCGTTGAGTGTCTTTTGATGCGGCATGGCCTTGCGCCGCGCGTTCTGGCGCCAGCGCTCCTTGACGTCAAAAACGATCTGCGTGCTGCCGCCGCCCTATAGCGACAGTATGTTCAATGATCTCGGACGAGTTGTCATTGCACAGTCGACGCACCAGATCGAGGGCACCAAAGAGGTCGACGTTGCTGGGCGCGAGGTCGCTCTCGACACGCGCATCGAGATAGTTGGCCGCCATGGCTAGGAAGAACGCTTCGTCGTCGCCCGAGATGGTGCGTACATGCACTCGCTCTACATGAGGAGACATGAAGGAGCCATTCCCGTGGGCCGAGCAGCAGCGATACCCAATGGCAGCACCATATTCGCGTCGTTCTTGATATCGAGGTACAGCTGGTTGTAGAGCTCGGCTTGCTGCGAAGCATCCAAGCCGCGCATACCAGCCGTGCCGTAGATATGGACAAAGCACCGGGATCGCATCTCGGGGGCCAGCGACGCTTGGACCTAATGCATTGTCTCCGTCGATGGCCTGTCGCCCGGCGCAGAGGCTGGCGCGTACCTCGTACAGTGCTTGGCGTATGTACGCATACGCTTGCAGCGGCGCGATCTCGCTGAGGCCGGGCGTGAGGTGCGCAAATGTATCGGCGGCGGGTACGCTCGGCGACGGGAAGGCAAAGAAGCGGGTGCCTGACGAGCCGGCGTCGACGATGATCCGGCACGACGAGTATGGGCGAAGTGGTATCCTGTCGCCAAGGACCCGAAGGCCGGGCGCGGAGAGCAGCAGGACAGCGGCGACGACGGCGTAGAGACGTCCGACGACGCGAGGCAGCATGATGACGGTCAAGCCTCAATTGTCGACTTGCGTGGTGCAACATGCCTCGATAGAAGACACAATAAAAGACCCCTCGTTAAAAGAACCTATGGCGCAACGAACAGTGGGAGAGTCGCACCAACTTGTGGAGCTCCAATGCAATCAAGCGGCCAAAGTCTACAAGTATATTTCAGAGATTGACTTGGTTCGAGGTGCTTGTGCGAGCAGGTGCTCGGTTCTCCTCAGGTTGCTTTTGCTGGTGGGTTTTGGCCATTTTAGTCGTTTAGTACCTTTTCGGTAGTGGAATGGAAAACGACTAGAACGAGACCAGGACAAGTCCTAATCCGGATATATTTCGGATTTTCGCCGGTCGGTGGCAGCATGGCGGCGTCGGAGGAGGCCGTGCACGAGATCATTCGGACGCAGCTGCTCGACAACCCGATGGACAGTCTCGCGAGGCAGCTGCGGCGCGTCTACGCCAAGCTCGAGAAGAAGGAGCGCGCCGGCGACGTCTCGGGCCGGCGACGGTACGCGGCCAAGCTGCGCGAGCTGCTTACAAAAGGCGTCGCCGAGCTCGAGTTCCAGCACCGCCAGCTGGGCGCGGCCATCAACATTGTCGAGCTGGACCAAAAGGCCGGGCTCTTTGAGAGCGGGAAGGCGTCGTCGTCGCCCAAGGCCAAGGACGACGCCGAGGTGCCCACGATTGCCGACATTGCCATCGGCGCGCAGGTCGCAGCCCGCGTTGCGCGCAGCCACGAGCTATGGATCCTCGCGTCGGTCGTCCGGCGAGACGCCAAGACACGGCTGTACGAAGTCGAGGACGAAGACTCGGGCGACGAAGACACGGAAGGGAAGCGCCACCACCTCGTGCCCCGCGACTGGATGATCCCGCTCCCGCGCGAAGAAGAAGTTCACGCCTGGATCTCGTTCAAGTGGAACCAAAAGGTCCTCGCCATGTACCCGAGCACGACGAGCTTTTACCCCGCCGTCGTTGTCATTCCCAATCCACCGGTATAGCCTTCTCTCGATGCAGACCTTTGTTCCATGCTGGTATTGTGCTAGGGCTCGCTGTACGTGGTCGTATGCTTTGACGACGACGCTGACGAAGTCGGCTACTGCCCCGAGCGCAAGGTGCCCTTTCGATTCGTGACGCCGCTTCTCAAAAAGTGATTTGTTTACTAACTTAAGTGTCGATGGCAACAATGTGTCATTCTCGTCGGTGCGTCAGAGTTTTAGTCGATACATCGATATTATTACTAGTCGCTCATACTCCATGCAGCGATCACAAACGAGCCCACAGCGGATGGACGGCGGTGTTGAGAGATGTGATCCTGTCTTTGATCGTACACGATAGAGTGGCATGGCATTGTTCTGCATGGACCGCCATCCGAAGAGGCAACCCTCGTTGTGTATCTCTTCGGCCTCTATGCCGGTGGTCCACCGCTTCTAGCTCGTCGCTCGCACATTTCCTATCAACGCATGACCTTCTTGAGAACTCGCATCTAGAGAGAGTAGGACCTGTGGTTAGTGTAAAACAGAGTCGGTACCTGCTTGCGTGATGCGGCCACGCATCACCCTGTAGTACGACGCGCCACACCCACAAAATGTAGTGGACATTATTGTACAGAATATGCAATCAATTCATGTGACGCAGTTGCCGCGGGTGTAGCGGTACACGTGGTCGCGGTCGAGGGCTTCCGCCGTTCGCGGCTGTCGTTGGACTTTAAAGTGGTTCTCGACGACGACACCGGCCACGTATGGGCGCAGCCACGCAAAGGACGTTGGTAGCATGGCCAATCCGAGCCAGTAGACACTAACGACGTATGTCTCCGTCTCCTTGTGGGGCTTGGGGTCGTAGGGCACGACGCCCAAAGAGTGTTTTCTACACGCAACAATCACGCCATCATCACGTCATCATCACGTTCAATGTGCCACGTACTCGGTTTCGGTCACGGACGCATAGCCCAGCAGCGCCATCGTGCTAGAATGGCGTCGACTCCGTGAGAGATATCACATGTGCACTCGATCGCACCTCGGACGGCAAAACATCTTGTTGCCAATCTTGATGGCTTGCGACGGGTGCAGCGGCAACGACGTGAGCACGCGAGGCACGTTGCAGTGCGATAGGAACCCATTCGACGCACACCACTCGAGGTTCAAGACGAGCCTAATGCGATATACCAATACGATCAGTAAGAAAACAAGAAAATAAGAAAATAAGAAACATATGAAATGAAATAACAACGTACGCATGGGTTGACCAGTAGAGTCGCAAGGTGGCAACACATATGGAGAAGAGAAGGGAGCCGAAGACCGGATAGAGAATCTCTTGTGGAAAGAGCTGAACGACCGTCGCGACGCCGTACGGGACATACGAGCCGCTGGGCCATGACACGCCGTTGAAATTCATGGCTAGAGATTACCAAAGGTGAAAACAAATGGTTTCGATAGGATATGGTTGACATGCATGACGCGTGCGTACCAAGCTCGGCCGCGCCCGCAAACAGCATATTGTTGGCCTTCATGAAATTTGTGTTGGAGCTGAGGGTCCAGGAGACTGTGACGATCGACGTGTAGAGAAAGATTGGGGCCGAGTAGACAACACACTTGGTTGGCAATGGCAGCGGTACTGCGCTGAGTAGACTACACCCACCACACCATTCGCATCCCAACGACTATTTAAAGACGACGATACCTGAGACCCGCGAGAAGGGTAAATGACACAAAAGTTGCGACCAAGAGGCACGAGAGACACCAGATCTTGTAGCCGTTGACGGAAAACACGTAGATGCGTGCGACGTCCAGGTACAAGAGGGACGGTGCCGCGTTCAAAGCAATGAGCAATGTGAGCACCTATGTCACTCGACTCTCTTCTTCTTTCACACCAAGAACGGACAGACCTTGCGACGCTCGAGACCTGAGAGCACGGCGTAGGTGAGCACGGGTTTGCCCGCAATGAGCCCTCGGATGCCTAAAACAGGACTAGAGTTTATAGTTGAATGGAAAGATAGGGTACCCTCAAACGTGATGTAAACATCGCCGTTGAGTGCCAGCACAGTCAGAACAATGAGGATCATCTGGAACGCAATGAGCTCGGACGCGTTCGAGACTTGATTGCCGCAGAGCCACGCTGGCGTGACTGGAATCCCACCATGTTTCCCTAGCATGCATGGAAATGTCGTGTACAGGCGGGTATGCGACGCACCTTGGCTCCACCCAGGCAATCCGAGGTCCGACGCGACCTGAATCTGCGAGATGCAGTAGACGTTGACCGTATACCTAATATCGCCAGAGCAATCTTGTGTGGTCCTTCAGACAAGATGCAACTACCGAGTCGTCAGCGGTGTGGAGAGTACGATGAAATCCGTGCCGATGGCATCGGCGGCGTAGCTACCATCGATGGCAATCGTGGTCCGCAATGGTGTGGACACAATGTCTTGCGACGTGCCGTCCGTGTTGCGGTGGTGCGTGATCGACTAGACATGAAACACGTGTCATGTCATCCCAAGCACCTCGATGCAACCTGCATGGTGGCATTTTTGTCCGAGTAGAGTGTGAGGAGGTAGACGCCATGGTTGTCCCGAACCTAGTACGGTAAGTGTCCTATCATCGGATCCGACTTTGTACGGTGCTTTCCAGCATGGCGATGCCAGCAATGGGCTGGCCACCGGTGGTTGGAATGCACGCCGGGTACGCATCGTAGCCGGCAATGAAGATAAGGACGCCCCACCCGACGGCCGTGTGGCCACCGACGATGCACGTGGTAATGTACAATGGCGAGGCTAGGGTAGAAACAAGATAACTAACTTTTGGTTAGCTGGGTTCGCACGGTACCTTCTTGAAGCTCCAACGACCACTGTGCAGCGAGAATGCGTCCGACAGAGGCCCACGCATCCGGCGTTGTCGCATTGACCTCGAGGGCTGAGCACGACTGTGGCACCCAGCCTGTCGGCGCCAGCTCACACGTCTCGCCATATGCAGCCCAAAAGTAGTCGAGCGACTGTCCGTTGTTGGACATGACAAGCCGATCAAACATGCCCTAGACAGGATACAGACACTAGCAGCAGGTAGGATTTGTACCTCCGTGATGAGTACGATGAGCGTAAGAAGGGATAATAGAATGAGGGCCCCGGCCGAGAGGTTGGAGACAATGCGACCATACGCGCTCAGCTGCTTTCGTCCGTGGTCGCCCGACTTGCCCGAGACACCAATTGTCGACGGCAGCGCCTACCCCATAAGACATTGACATTGAGGTCAGCAAAGACGCCTTCGCACCGTGTGATGCATTCCCATTGTTGTACCCGTGGCTGGCATCGTGCCCGAGACAGAGCTGGGCGCGGACTAGGCCTCCTTTTGAGATTCTGTGTTTGCCTTGTGGGTACCAGGTACCTGGCGCAGCCCATGAACCCACGCGTGCGGCCCGAAACGGGGCATGCTCAAGTGGTTTGTAAAGGCGTCAGGGCCAAAAATACGTTGAGGTGGAGCGACGCAGCTCGCGTCAGCATGAAACTGCAATGTCGGTTCCAGCCAAGGGATTCCCTTGATTTCAGCCGACAAACAAGCAATGACAACCATGCAGGTAGTCCTTCGGATGTCGCATCGCAGTGGTAGTAGACATTCGTGTTGAGCATGTCAACAGACAAACGCCCGCCGCGAGATGTGGACCTTCTAGGTGAAGTGGAGGTTTCGCTGACCAGATCGACGCGATGAGCCGACTGTAGACGGTTATGTAGTCATTACACATCGGGCCTTGTCGCTTTGAACGCCACTCTCAGCGGTAACGTCCATCGAATCCTCCAACCTCCCACTCGAGCATTGTGCAAGGCGAAAGCGGGAGCTACCAATCTATCCCCTCTGCTAATGGCAACAACAGCGACGCTATTCATTTCACCTTTACTCTCTTATTTCACTCTAATGGGAGTCATTTACAGGCGCTACGTCTGGCCAATACGACGCGGTATCACGTGACGCAGTTGCCGCGGGTATAGCGATACCGCACCGCAGGGTCCAGCGTCTCGTCGTGCTTGGCCGTATTGGGCTTGAAATGGTTCTCGGCGACCGTACCTGCGACAAACGGCCGGAGCATCGAACACCACTGCGGTGCAATCGCAAGCCCGAGCCAGTAGACGCTCACAACAAATGTCCCCCCACTCGTTTGCTTTGAATTGTACGGGACAACGCCGCGCATACCCTTCCTACGAAAGACCATGCTGATATCCAAACAGCACGAATCCTGCAGTGCTACGTACTCGGTTTCGGTCACGGACGCATAGCCCAGCAGCGCCATCGTGCTAGAATGGCGTCGACTCCGTGAGAGATATCACATGTGCACTCGATCGCACCTTGGACGACAAAACATCTTGTTGCCAATCTTGATGGCTTGCGACGGGTGCAGCGGCAATGACGTGAGCACGCGAGGCACGTTGCAGTGCGATAGGAACCCATTCGACGCACACCACTCGAGGTTCAAGACGAGCCTAATGCGATATACCAAAACGATCAGTAAGAAAAACAAGAAAAATAAGAAAAATAAGAAACATATGACATGAAATAACAACGTACGCATGGGTTGACCAGTAGAGTCGCAAGGTGGCAACACATATGGAGAAGAGAAGGGAGCCAAAGACCGGATAGAGAATCTCTTGCGGAAAGAGCTGAACGACCGTCGCGACGCCGTACGGGACATACGAGCCGCTGGGCCATGACACGCCGTTGAAATTCATGGCTAAAGACATGTCAGTGCTACATCGGACACGACACGTACACAAGGCGGGTGCGCCTGCGTAAAGCTGATTGCTCGCATAGGTCAAGTTGGCTCTCGTGCTGAGGCTGAAATAGATCGAGACGATCGACGTGTAGAGAAAGATTGGGGCCGAGTAGACAACACACTTGGTTGGCAATGGCAGCGGTACTGCGCTGAGTAGACTACACCCACCACATAATTCGCATCCCAACAAGTATCCAAAGACGACGATACCTGAGGCCCGCGAGAAGGGTAAATGACACAAAAGTTGCAACCAAGAGGCACGAGAGACACCAGATCTTGAAGCCGTTGACGGAAAACACGTAGATGCGTGCGACGTCCAGGTACAAGAGGGACGGTGCCGCGTTCAAAGCAATGAGCAATGTGAGCACCTATGTCACTCGACTCTCTTCTTCTTTCACACCAAGAACGGACAGACCTTGCGACGCTCGAGACCTGAGAGCACGGCGTAGGTGAGCACGGGTTTGCCCGCAATGAGCCCTCGGATGCCTAAAACAGGACTAGAGTTTATAGTCGAATGGAAGGATAGGGTACCCTCAAACGTGATGTAAACATCGCCGCTGAGTGCCAGCACAGTCAGAACAATGAGGATCATCTGGAACGCAATGAGCTCGGACGCGTTGTTGATCTCATTGCCACAGGCCCACGCAGGACTGAGCGGGACGCCTCCGTGCTTGCCTGCGATTGGCGTGGAGACAAGATTTGAGAAAGTTCGCAACACGAACCTTGGCTCCACCCGGGCAGCCCAAAGTCGGAGACGACCTCGATCTGAGACAGGCAATAGACGTTGACAGTGTACCTATAGCATACATGTACACATTGTCATAGTACTAGTAAATATTTATATCGACATACCGTACACCGAGGGGCGTCGATAGAATGATAAAGTCTTCGCCCGTTGGATCGTAGCCATAGCTGCCGTCGGTTGAGAGTACCGTGCGCAGCGGTTTATGCAGCACGTCTTGTTGCGTGCCATCCGAGTTGGTGTACTTGCGCACTGTCTAAAAAACGCCTTTTACAGCGGCGAGAGCTGAACCCATGGGACCTGCATCGTCGTGTTGAGGTCCGAGTAGAGGGTGAGGAGATAGACGCCTTGGTCGTTGCGAACCTAATGTATCGGTCGTTGGATTCCTCGTGTCTGGTAACACGTAAATTACAGTCGTCTCCAACATGGCAATACCAGCAATCAACTGCGGACCATCGAGGGGCACGCAGTTGGGATACGTGGTGTAGCCAGCTATGAAGACGAGGACGCCCCACCCGACAGCCTTGTTGCCACCGACGACACACGTCGACACAAACAGCGGTGTACCTACAGAAGGAAAGCTCGTGACGCGTTATAGCCATGCTGTGGGTGACCTTGGGCGAGTTCCAACGACCACTGGTCCGCAAGGCGCTCGCCCACGGACGCCCAGACCACCGACGACGTCGTATCAATTTCATTTGGCGAGCAGCTTTGCGCGAGCCAGCCGTGACGTGTGAGCTTACACGCTTTGCCATAGTCGGACCAAAAGTACGCGGTGGACTGCGCGTTGTTGGAGATGACGAGCCGGGAAAACATGCCCTAAGAGTATTGAAAACGCTTCATTTGAACCTCAATTCCAGTTCATGACAATCGAGAGTATCGTACTTCGTTGATGAGCACAATGAGCGTCAACAGCGAGAGCAAGATGAGCCCACCCGCGAGGAAGTTGGAGAAAATGCGTCCAAACGCCGCGATCTTTTTGCGTCCCTTGTCCGACGGCTTGCCCGAGACGCCCCTGGACGGCGACCCCAAGGTCTACAGCACATGTGTATTCTGTGCAGACGACGCGATGACCGACCGATGGTGGAAGAGGCATATTGTTGTTGCCACCCGACGCAGAGTTTGTAGCCGGCTACGACCGTCCGACGATAAGGTTTTACAGGAGACCCGCGAGTATGAGATGCACACGTACGGGTCGGAGGTTTTGGACCCACGCGCTTGGGCCGACGCGAGGCATCTCTGCTTCAGCGACGACTCGGTTGAACACTAGACAGGCCGTCCCGGAAATACGTCGCTATTTTTGGGCAGCGGATTTCGCCCCGAGAAATAGAAATGTAGCGTCGTTCAATGACGAGTTGTACGTTGCGGATCGGAGCTCGTTACAGCAGCTTTCTTGCCGAAGACAAAGCTTTCCGCAATCGACTGATTCGTGTCGATTTACGAGGTACCACTCACTTGGTAAAATCAAGGGAAACAATTTATACCCCTTGGTAAGATGCACTACGGCCTGGTGCGTGGGATGAGCCGATGTGTAAATAACGGGACCAAGTGGTTTGAAGAGAGACTCTAATTAAGGGAACATAAATAGCTCTTTTTATGTACATATTTTCTCTCGACCACAAAAGCGAATCGTGGACCAGAATCAAGTACATTACATGTAGCATTATGACAGCACGGAATTGCATATATCTCTTCTTCAGTCAAAAGACACCACAGGACTCCGCAGGACTCGAAGCGTTGCATGGACCGTTTCTTGTATCAAGTTGATACAAATACTCAATGTCAGAGGTCTGCGAGCCAGCCCGCCGATATATGCTATTTGAAAGGTCCTTTGGGATATTATATTCAAATATCAAATCAAAGAGGCTATTCGACGGATTTTTCGAAACCAGAACAACGGCCAAACCCATCCAAGCTCGAAGTGCAGCATGGCAGGAGACGACCGCGCCGAGGACGCCGCCTTCTTTGACAAGCCTAGCGTCCCGACGACGATCCGCTGGATCCCGGACGCCGAGGTGTCTCTCTGCAAGGCCTGTGGCCTCCTCTTTGACTGGGTCCGGCGCAAGCACCATTGCCGGTACGCCTGTCTCGCCCATGCTTGGCTCATCATGGCCTTGGCTAGATACTGCGGTAGCCTGCGATGCTGCTTGTGTGCATGCAAAATGACATTCGGCGGTGGTAGGCCACGTCTTTTGCGATCTCTGCACGACGTTCCGCAGCTTGATCCGCGACGACAAGATTTTAACGTCCCCCGAGAAGCGGTACCTCTCGGTGAACGCGTACAACCCGCAGCGCGTGTGCGAGCCGTGCTACACGCTGCTCTTGCCCGATCAAAGCCTGCTCTGTAATGACCTTTCTCATCGCCTTGCGTCATGAAGCTTTAGGCGCGACTGCTAGCAACGCCGTGCAGCC